GCATCTTCCAAACAAGCAAATGTTAGTGATGTCTCAGGGCAGGCAGAGCCTTTTAGGCCAGCTCTGTAGCATACCTGTAATATCTGCTACTTCTACATTTGTTGTTTCTATGCTGGTTTCAGGACTATCAAGTCAGCACTGAAGTGATTTTAAATTTGGACCTGTCCAAGAAAAAACTAAATAAATTCCCTCCTTATTGCATCAGTAACATTGCAAACTCATGAGCAGAACTTCCAGGTATGCTTCCAGCAATATTAGTTTAAAAATTTTATTCTACTCATCTAGTCAACCCATTTGTATAGTTGACAAGAAGTGAAGGTTTTCTAAACAGCCTGGTGTCAATTATTGGTGCTATCAAGGTTATAACTGTAATGTTTGGGTTTCCTTAATTAGATTTTTGTGTCAGTGGGCAGCAATGTCAGGTACTGCTCTGTAAGAAAAGGTGAGCTGGAGCAAAGGGTGACAGCAGGGCTGTAGCCTCATGGATACAGCCCCACCTGAGCAAGGTGAGCAGAGCAGACCAAGTGACAGTAACCAGGGCCAACCACGGTCCAGTGATTCAGGCAAGTCTGTAGGGATAAGACAGGTCCAAGGTCAAGCTAGGAAGGCAGAGAGGTAGAATTTGCATCTGGGTGAGCAAGGTATCTCGACAGGATCATAATTTAGCTGAGGCAAGGACTGTGGGCAAGAAAATGTGCCTGCTTGGTGAAGGTGGGGAGTCTGTGATGAGGTTTCTCAGAGCTCTTGACCCAGGCAAAGACACACAGCTCTGTCTGAGCTAAGTGTGGGAGCCCAAGCAGCTAAACTTGTAGAAGGAGAAAAGACGTTATGGAGGCTGTTGGGCACTCAAGGGGGGCAGATACCTGTTCAGTGACAAAATCCATTAAACTTCATAATTGTCTCGAGGGTTTTTTGTTTATTTCTACAGTTCAGCATTGTAATTATGTGCAGTTTGAGGATGAGAGGAGGACCAGGATTCAGGACCTTTTACTACCACTGGGCGTTTCAGAACCTTAGCTTTTGCCAAGTCTGGTAGAAGAAGCAGTACTTAGTATCTGCAGTACAGACAGCTGAGTTTCTCTGCTGGCCTTCTCCTCCTTTGTGCAATTTTCCATCTTTATACTCCAAGCTTCTTTTCTGCAATCACATAGCTTTCTCTGGAGCAGTCCATCATAACTGAGTTTGTCAACTTTTTGTCTCACCTGGTAGCAATTCTGACATTAGGACCACTTCTTGCAGCCACATACCATCTTTTCTGGGTTAGCCTGAAGTATTTTTCCCTTCACAAATTATGTGCATGGTAGGACACACTTTTTTCTCACAAATTGTACACATGCCTCCAAGCAGTACTATTTAAAACCATGTTCTTCCCTCTCCTCCTGCATGGAGACACGGACAAGGAATCAATATTATCTATTCTTAATTCTGAAATGGCATCACAGAAACTTAGTCTTCAGGGTTCTTCAACTTAAACAGCTATCAGAAAAACAGATGTCTAACTCTCAATCACAAATTATTTTCCATCCAACTAAGCGTGGAACAGATTTTTAAAAAAATGTTGTTTGGCAGTGCAAAACTGAAAGTGTCTATGGAAAGTAGGAATTAGCTGTAATAATCTGCTTAATAATTAAGTCTTTTCTGGACTTGTTTTTATACAGTTTTCAAGATGTAAATGCTAGCTAATACCTCTCAAGAACAGTTTTCCTTTCCTCATCTAAACCATTCAGTGATTGGATAACAGTTGGCAAGCTTTCACACAAGCCAAAGGCAGAGTTTTGGGACCATGTGGCAAAGGGAATCTGGGGGCCTGGCCAGCTCTGTGCAACTCCTTTCTCATCCCACAAGAGATTCCCCTCAGGCTATATGGCACATCCAAACTGCCTTATTTTGATGCAGTTCTTATGACCTTGGGATCTGTCTCAGACTGGCAGTCTTAGCCCTGTGGGATACCCTTTGTAAACTTACTCTTCTCCAAAGATTTGGAATGCCTGTACATAATCTAAATAAAACCAGCTGAGAAGAAGGTCTGCCACTCAGCAACATCCCCATCAGCCTTTCTTTTGTGACTGAAGCGCTATGCCAACCAAGTGCCAGCGGCCTAATCCTGTAACTCAAACAGCCATTTTCTTTGCCAATGGGTCCGCTTCAGTTTGCTGGGATTGACTGCTGTGAGCCACCACAGGAAAGCAGACCGAACTTGGGAGACCTTGGAGCTGGATGAGCACTTGGATACATCTTCCCAATGTGTTTCCTTCATGGCTCATTACACCCCTCATTTAACCACTTTTAGAATGGGGATGTTTAGTATATATATACTTCTCTGTAGGCTATGGTGCACAATATACAGGATTTTTTAATTTTCTTTGTGTGTGGGAGTAAATGTGATTTAGATTATGCAAGGCTCTCACCTTTCTTCAGTTTTATCTAAAGCAAACCTTTGCTAAATTGACTGAAATCATACTTAAGTGTTTCTCTTGATGAGTAGTTAAAACAGAAGCTGTGTGTGTCCTGGGGTGACTATGCATATGGGGAGGCAAACCTCTCTGTTGGCAGCTGAGAAGGTTCTGCGGGTGCTGCCTGCATTTAGCCTTATACCCAGGTATCTGGTGGATGTGGCTAAGCTTGCCAATTCTGGCAGGGGAACAGAAAAGCAGCAAGACTTGTCCAGAAGTGCTTGGTGACCCTGGAGCAGAGCGCATGTCTTAATCACCCTTCTCAGGTATGTGTGTACATCAGCAAGCTTGCAGGCAGTGCAGAGCCCTCAGTTAGTGCAGCACAGCGGTGTGTCCCCTCTGCCTCGGACAGCACGTGTGTGCGCACAGCGCTCTCTGCGTGGGCTGTGCTCCTGGAGTGTCGCTGCTCAACCGGGTTTGACCCCATGTCATCAATGTTCCCTCTCTGAGTCTGGAACTCTCTGAAGCCCACTCCTGAGTCTGTCTTAGTGTGCAGGGGGGCTGGCTACCTAGCCAGAGGTGAGTCAGAAGTGCACAAATTCTTCTGGGCATTCTCCTTTGTGTCACTCGGACACCAACCTTCTGTCCCTCAAAGACCTCATTCATCCTCACATGTGGGTCCCTACCTTTGGCTTTTAATGCAGCTCAGCAGCTGTGCCATATACTTGTTCAGTGATTGTAACAAACAAAGCATTCATGTAGGTCTTGGCACCAGCCTGGAATTTTAGGAACATGTATTTAATTTAGAATTAAAAAGACAAAATACACAGGTTTGAACATGCAAAGGTGTACAGTATTCTTCACCGCTTAAAGCATGGATTAATTTTATCCTCATGACATGCTGAGAAAAGTCAACACTTGGTCTCCCTGAAAGCCACCATATGGTCTGGCTAGTTTTCTTCCTTTCTAGAAGGGTTTTGGCGAACACAGTGCTGCTGCAGCTGGGAACAGGGCTTAAAATAACACCGAGGCTCCAGCTCAGATTGGTAGCCTCTGGCAGCTGCTCTATGCATTGCCAGGAAGAAACTGTTTGCATCCTCAAACTGTAGGGGATGTTCCTACCGGTGCAGAGTTATTATTCATTGCTAAATGCTTTATGCTGTGACAGGCGGGTAAGGAGGTGGATTTACTGTAAAAAGGCAACCCAGGGTATAGACAGCAAGTTTGTGCTGCTGTGAGGCTGGATGACTCACAATGTGATGGTCTGTGTCCTGCTTTAAGAACTTGAAGGACAAAATTTGCTGCAATGACCGTTTAATTTCAGCACTTTATTGCCTGAGAAAATTTACCACATCTGCGTCTCAGTGCTATGCTCTGTCAGTGACAGGCCAAAAATAAAACATTTCCTCTTGTTGCACAAGCATTGGACAATGTGGTAAAGAAGCCTCATTGAGGGAGGTCACTGGATTTGATTTGCTTCAGGTCCTGTGGTCGCCAGCAGCCACTGTTGGGCACCAAGTGCTGTGGAGCCCTATATTCTGTAGATTTTTGTTCCCCCTGCTCAAGTCACAGCACAGAAGCCACTACCCCATTCAAGACCTGTTGTACACTTAAAGGATGTATTTTCTGGGCATTACAACCAGGACATTGCATAGACCTGCTCCCAACCCAGCCATGCAATAGCTTGGCAACCTTTAGTTACCACGTGCACCCCTCAGTTTCCTCCCTATAAGAAAAGGGCTCTTGCTCCTTCTCAGAAAGGTCATGAGGACAGAGACCTCTTTGTGGGAATAGGAGACATTTTGTGTGAAGCCCTTCCTCTTGCTCGTAGGTGGAATAGTGGTGGTGGTTTTTAATTACATCTCATTACATGCTCTTTTTACTACCCTCTCCTGGGTAGAACAGAAGGACACTGCCCAGAGAAGCTGAGGGCATCTATCTCAGGGCTGAAAGCTCCTTATCTCTAGGACTATGCAGCAGTTCCAAAAAACAGCAAAAAGTGGATGTGAATACCATCTTGCATAACCTTTTTTGGAGCTTGTATTGGAAGACCCTGGGAGCATGTGTGTATTTTCTATCTCATTTTATTTTTTTAGTTATATTCCTTGCCCCAGTCACTCATCTTTCAGAGTACTCAGCCTTTATTTAAAAACAGATTACAAGTTTCTTGTATGATTATTAAACAAGAAGCAATCTCTGATGTTGCACACTTGGTGCCAGTTCAGAGTAGATGAAGTGGGAAGAATCGCAATAGCAGGTGACAAGTCACAAGGGTCCCCATGGGTGTTACACAACTCCCTTTCCATTCAACACCCCTTGTCACTCATCTGAGATAGCTGCTAAAAGGGCAGGGGCTTTTCCCCGGATGTTAGGCCGGGCAGCTCTCAGTGGGTCTGGGCAGGTCACTGATCCTGGACATTGAGCAGGGTGAGGGAGCAGTTCAGACTCTTCAAAGGACCTGACAGTTTAGTATAGAGTCAGATAAGGGCTAGGAATGGGAGTGAGGCTTAAACATGCCTGTGTCCCTGATGTCTCTGGCTGATAGACTTGCTGCTTGTTTTCCTGTCAGGATCCACATGCCTCTTTGGCAGTGGAAAGATAAAAGAGCTTCTGTGGATAGGAAAACATCCAGAACTCCCATCTGAGTTCTGCAGCCTGAACCACACTGGTGGAGGAGGGCCCTGCAGAGAAGAGATGATGCTATAAAGGGTCTGTGGAATAGATTGGCTGGGCTCTGGTGGGCAAGGTGGGGAGCCGCAGGTCAGTGGGGAGTAGGTGTGGGCCATGTTCCTGCCCCTTGCTGCCCTGAGGAAATTTACCACGTTTTCGTGGTAAATGTGCATGCTGCTTGTGCGGAAACTACATTTCACCAAGAAAATTTTGAATTTTACAGCAGACATTCAGTGACTTGCCAGCACGCATCTAGTGCCTTCAGAAGCTGCAAAATGCCCCCTTTCTCAGGAGTCTCTGGGTTTTCAGTGGTTTTTGCCAAGCATCCTTACACCTAAAGTCAAGAGTGAGTCATCAGACACGAGGATGCCTGCACATCCCTCTCTGCTGACTGAGCACCATGAAACCTTATCTCCTATTGCTAACCCCGGGAGCGATGATCTCCTGTATACCCTTCCTCACCACCTCTTGCTGCTGTGTGTACCCATTCTGTTTCCCAATTCTCACCTGACTTTTTTGGATGCGTTTCTGGAGCCTCATCTACCAGCACTCAGTTTTGCGTCTTATGTAGCTGTGCCATTTTGTGTCTTCTTGAGCAGATGGGATACTAATTGGTATAGATCACATCTAGTTCCAGCTGAGCTGACTTTCTGCATTTATAGGATCAGCAAGGCTAGTAATGAGGTACAAAATAATAACCAAGGTGAGCATATGACCGTCACAGAACTGGGCTTTGCTCTGGCAGCTTGCATTTGATTCTGTAACAGCTTTTCAGATTTTTTTTCTTCTTTTTCTCTCTATCGAGGCTCATTAACCTTTTGTCATTTTTGTCCCAGTCAGAGGCTAAGGCTTGTGCTGATTTTGTCTGGCAGTGAACATCACGATTCAAATCCAAATTTATGTGCAAATTATGTGCTTTCACCTCCCCAAAGTTTCTTCCTAGCCCTTCTGGTTTTTGTAAGTTGTTCAGTGGCTAAATTTCCTTGGTGAGCTGTGAATTGTGTTTTGGCTACCCTTACACGTCTTGTGGGTGGTTGGAGCCATAGCACATCTCAAAATCAACAACTTTTACTTTCTCTAGATTCAAGGAGGGAGCCAGATAAGTGAAGATTGCTGAGATGAGTTGTGCTCCTCCAAGGAAGGGAACTGCACGTACACATCAACACGAGGACGGAGCTTCTAACTCCTCAAGGCCGGGCAGCATGTCCTCGTTCCTGGCCTCGGGTGCAGGAGCAAAGCCACTTACTGAAGGACGAGAGGTAAACTGGTGTGCTGCAGGCAGGATGGCTGAGAGACGGCAGCAAAGCCACTCTGGCAGTAAGGATGTGAAACCACAGCACTGCACTGCTGTGACCTCCTTTCCAGCCGTGTGGCCTGAGGATCAGCAATACTTGGCAGCTGCACAGAGTAATTGTGGGGCAGGCATTTCCACGTGCTCATTTCCTTTCTTTTAAATACATTATGGGGGAAATGATCATCATCACCTTGCTATCTTTCCTGTTAGAATTGCTTTCCTAACATCCACTACAGATGTTTCTGTGTGCAATTTAAATAATGCACATAATAACCAAATAAGGAGGGAAAACTTATAAGTAGAAAAAGTTGAAGATGGAGTGTGGGAAAAGGAAATGAGTAGAGTCACAGAGATGTAAGTGGTGTAGTTAAGGGGGACGGAAGTGCAGACTGACTTTTTTGTGAGCGCACTAAGTACCTTAAATCCAGGATCTTTTCAAACACTTTTTAATATTCTAAGCTAACCTCTTCCATGGATTATCTACAGTTTAGAAACTGAGGTGAAAGTAGGTAAAAAAAATCTTTCCGAAGGAGCAAGCTCTAAGCGGAACTGAAAGTACAGCCTTAGAGTCCTGCCTCTTAATTCTCTTCTCTGGCCCCAGTGCTCTTCTTCGATTTTCCACGAATGGTTTTCACTTGAGGTATACATTAGCTTGCTCTCTTGGACAATTGTATTCAGCTATTAGCAGGGATAATAATATTAAAACAAAATGGCTGGATGTCTCTAGAGGTCTACAGGGAAGCACAAAATGCTCTAATAAGAGCAGCACTACCAGGAAAGAGAGAAATGCTGTAGCTAGGTACTGATTAATGTAGCTCAAGAACGAGCTTTTAATGGCCCATTAAGAAGAAAAATTACGTACAGAATTTGAGGCTATTTTTTGGTTTTGATCATTGTTTCCTAAGAAAATGTTGCATTCTACCCAGGGGATCAGTCAAACATTTTGTTGTGAGTTTTGTGGGCTTTAGATAATAAAGGAAGGTTAGTGATAGATGCATGAGTGCTGAATGATAAAGCATTTCTCTTGGTTGAAACTTAAAAATACACAGTGAGTGTCAGCATCCCTTAGCAGTGCTGTATGTGAGTCAAAGCATCTCTGAACTGCAGTGCTTAGACCACACAGTCCAAGCTGTGGGTTCCCTTATGTGCACCACCAGAGGTGATCTCTGTGCTGTGCTTCCTGTGCCCTGATGTGTTGGGGGTGGCAGTCTCCCAGCCCTTCAGAGATGTGCATGGAGCTTCCTGAGCACACTAGATCTGGGGATTCAGCCAGCTGCTGGCAATTGGTGGTTATCTGCCACACAGTCTAGTGGGCAGGGCTGACCACCCATCCTTAACGTCAGTGAGTCCTGAGGGGAACCAAATTATTCTGGGATCAGAGTACATGGGTCTTTGCTGTTCCTAGTTTTCACTGCATGTGCTAATGCTTTTTAATCCCTGTTCCCATACTCTCTGGTCATATAAAAACAACCAAAACTTAATGCAAGAGGCTCTTCTTCCCATTTTGTCCTCTATTTTGCTCACATTTCAGGGGGACAATCCCGAGCATACAGGAGATGCCTCTGGAAAAGTCAGTATTGGTACCCCTGCATCAGTGGGATTGGAGACAGGGAGACAAAGGCTGGGATGTAGTCACAGGGATAGGATATAGAGGATCTGAAGCTTTACTGGGGAAGAACTATCATTTTCCCTTTTAGTGCTCCCCCCAGGAGGTCACCAATGTACCTTTCATCCTCTTCCTACTAAAAAGTGGCCATTTGCCTGATGTTACTGACTTGAGACCCTGACAAGTCTGGGCTTAAAGTGTCCTTGTTGGGGCAGGTACTTGTCCTTCAGTGTATGCTTCTGGTGTCTCTTACAGCAGCATGTTACACATGGGTGCTGATATTCTGGGACCAACACTCAGAACCTCTTCTGAATAAGCAATACTTTAGATAAATTAGGTAGAACTAATGAGATTGGATACACTGCGAGGTAGGGAGCTGTCTACCTTAGCATCTCAAATCCCCATTGGAAGTATAGGCTGGGCACATATTTTAATTGAGAACATCTCCCTTCCTGAGGATTTCATTCTGCTGTAATCAGACCCTCATAAAGGACAAAACTGGGCAACACTAGCAATTGAGAGGAGAGGAAAAGTATGGAGATATGAAATCTATGAGCTGCAGAAAAGGTAAGGAATCAATAACATGAGATTTGCTGAAACAAATAGTGTGATTGAATGTTTTTACACCATGCAATATTTGCTGCTTGCAGTACTTTGTCCCAGATGCAGGCCATGATCTGGTGTTATTCACAGGCATTTGAGAATACAGTTTCTATGAAAGATGCCATTCTAAATAAAGCAGTATTGATTCAAATAAAAGGAATAAGCTTTACCAAAATAAAAGGAGCAGGGAAATGCTGGTTGAGAAGCAGAACCTAGGAAAAGAATATGAGGGTGGACATAGAGTTTTCCTGTGGAATAATGTGAAATGCTATCATAAAAATAAAAACTGGCAAAATACCTTTTGGTGGAGAAAGGAACAGGGCTGTCCTCGTAACCTAAGGAAGAAAGTCCAGTTCTTTACACTACTTAGGAGCCAACATAGCAGCTAAAGGAGGTGAATGATACAGGAGAGATGGACTTAAGCCCCAAACTGTCATTGTATGTTACTGTTATCCACTGGTAGGGAAATGAGTGAGGGGACAGGAGCCCAGTGAACTAAAGCTGCTTGTGCTTTTGCGCATTGTATGTCCTGGAACTGCCTTTATCCTGGAAGCTTTTCTTTGATGCTCTTCTGCACATTTCACTTTGTGAAGTACCAGGTGTTTCTAACAGCTAATCGGTGCTGATTTCTAACTCTTGATCTCATTTAATGACCCTCTGATTGGCATTATGGACTGCATACACCCTTCTCATATCCAGTCATTTTGTTGTTCTAGCTCCAGTGGAGGACAAGGAGAGGAAAGTAATTTCTGACCTCTGCTAACAGGTAGGTGTGATAGATAACATATTCTCCCGCATAGGTAAGAGAGAGAGAGAGAGAGAGAGAGACAAGTCAAGACTTGACACAACTTTAAATGCCTTCTCTCCTTATGCCCTTGCCCTCTCTTATGCCCCTCTGTGTGTATTCAACAAAGACAGATGATATTCTGGGCATTGCTCCAATAAACCACCTCTTTGTACCAAAGAACAACGAAAGGTAAAAGGTCTGGCATGCCAGTCCTATTGCCCAGGGGTAAGACCAAGGGCAGAATGGGAGTAGCTGAACTGGTGAGTAGCCAAGGAGAGAGAGAGAGAGAGAGAGAGAGGTGCTTCTCTGAGCTGGAGAGCAGGGGCCGTGGGAGAGACGGGGAATCTATTGGTGTCATTGGGTCACCCACGTCAAAGCAAAAATTGATGAAGTTAATCTGGATGAGGGGAATTCTGATGTAGAATTAAAATCAGTTTTAGTGAGGGAGCAAATAGGTAGGGAAAGGCTGGAATAGCTACGCACTGAGATTCCGAGGCTGTTATTCAACAGGTGGGATAAAGTTGAGGGAAATATAAAATACCTTTGAAGTGTGTATGTGCCTGTGCATTCAGGTCCTCCCTCACACGTGCACCCAAGCCTGTGTGAGTTAGGGGAAGCACCCACACCCAGCTCACCATAGCACATTCATTCCTTATGGTTTCCAGGAGGGTGTTGCAGCAGCCACTGGAGTACAACACAGAACTGTGGTACGCTTCTCAGCATCACAAAATCGTGATTTTAAAACCAAAACAAAATTGTCTCCTCACTCCTAATGATATTAACAATCCTAGTAATACTTGCTTATTATAGAATACAATTCTAAAAAAGGCGGTTTACTTGTTCTGAATTATCTGCACTTCTGTGGAATATCTGGTTTTGGACTGTAAGGCTGGATTTAGATTAAATGTGATGACAAATGAAAAAAAAATAGAAGTAAAGCTGTCTGGATCACGCTGCAGTAAATTGCTTTCATAAAATGGCAGGTCCTCCTACAGATACAAAGGTGCAGTACTGAGAGGACACAATACAAGCTAAGATGAATTCACCACATCTCCCCCGCTCCTGACAAGTCAGTAGGGTTCAGACTGAACTCTGGAAATAAAAGCTGCCATCTATTTTTGTGATCGACTGTGGATATAATACAGAGCATGAAATCTGGGAAAGAGGTTACAAACCTGATAGAAAGCCCAAGGTACCCCTCCCTGTAAAAATATTCCAACAGTGAAAGGAGAGCTCGAAGGCTTTTGCTTTAGGAAGGATAGGGCTCTGGCATTGGAAGCAAAATATCCAAGGGGCCCAAAATATTTCTATATGAATGAGGGGTGCTCTGAGAAGGAATGTGTCAGGCTTTCTCCCCTCAAGGCTGTGGGCTGCAGCATTTCACTGAGCACAACCAAGCTACGATCAAACATATTCCTTTTATTACAGCAGATCACAAGACAGTTTTTCAGCAGACATTCAATCATTGCACAAAATAGATGGTTGAGCTTAAAGGAAAAGTTCTCTTCTTAGACAAAGCTGCTCTTCCTTTGGAATTCCTGTAATCAGAAAATGTATTTGTAGCAGCTGGCTACTCCTGCCTCTCCAAGCTTTTTGAATCTACACCAGAATTTCAGTGGTACAGGTTTCTTAAAATGTCTCTGAGACACTGGATTCTAATGTCAGACCAAACTATGTAACGTACTGCAGCATAGGTAAATAAATAAATAGCACCTTTCCAATGCTGTCACCTTCTTAATAGGAACACTAAAAAAAAAATGGTGTTCCTTTTCTGCTAAATTTATCATCTACCAGTGCCTGCCAGGTGAAATCCACTGGTTATACAAGAGTGAGAATTTACACTCCCACTACCCCTTCCTCCTCCCCCCGTGCCTCCCCAGCCATCCCTGCCAGCCCGCATCTTTGCCCGGGGAGCAGCCGCCAGCCTGGGGACATTTTTCCAGCGCCACAGCTGCTGTGGCAGAACAGCGCTCCCTTTGCTGCTCTCTGCCACTTTGGCACAGGCTGTGGGCTTGTCAGTTGCTTTCAGGCTTCTCAAAATTTGGCAGTGGCTCTTCTTGCCATGCTGAAACTGTCTCTGATTCAGAGAGCAATGTTCCTGTGCTTTGGGGACATTGGGATTGCCTACTTGAGCTGTTCCAAGCAGATATTCTGCTCACATGCTCACCCATCTCTGCCCTGGAAGAAGGTTTCTTCTGGTTAGAGAAATGAAAGAAGTAACCCTTTGTTGGTCATTTGGTTTTATGCATCTTTCTTTCCTCACATATGTAGTTGGGACATCAGGGATGTCCAAAACTTTCATGTCCCAAATAACGTTCCATTAACTTCACTACAAACCTGCCAGGGATATGGCAAACCCACAACTACATGCAAGTGTAGATCAGGATGAATAAGAACAATGGCTGATCTGCCTTGCTCAGCACTATGTTGATCCAAAAAAGTAAGCCATCTGCAAGCTTCCTATTTTAAACAGCAAGGTGTTTCAAGTAAAAGTCTACAAAAAGAAGTTCCTGAAAGAGAACTAATGTGAAATCTTTCCTGCAATGGAAAATACAGAGGTTCTTGAATTCTCTCTGTTGTTTGTGGAATTCAGTAGTAGAAACTGGTGTAGAGTTTGCATGGAATTGGATTAGCTGTTTAAAGTATCTCCTGCAAGCCAAATCAAACCAAATTATTCATCATAATTATCATGCAAGTATATATACATGTGTGTGTGTGTGCCTACCCCAGAATCTACTGCTTACTTCTGAGACATTCACAAGAAAAATTCTCACTGCAAAAGAAATCTCACTGCAAAGTCACTGTTTGTGTTCAACCTGAAATATTTTGCTCTGCTGGTAGACCCAACTCCTGCTGAGTAGCCAATCTACAGCTGCTACAATGGGGAAGTTATGGCTTTAAGTATCAAGGAAATTAAAGTATTGCAGTGTTTCCTGAGGCAAGGGTATTATGGGCAATGGTGTGATAAGACAATTTTCTGTTGTCTCAGAGGTGACTGTAAAAATGTCATTTGAGAGTGTCTGATTTATTCCTTCTCAGTGTTGCTTCCCAGTCAGATGTGTTCAGCCTGCAAGTAAACAGCGCTTTGTATCTAAGTGGTAGGATGGCACTTCAGAAGGTGAAAACTTGTTCAATCTGTCTCTGACTGTCACCAACAATACAATTTCTACCATCAGTGCTTATGTGACCAGATTATGGAGCTAAATCAGGGTGCTGTTTTTCTGAGTCTAGGCAGAGTCTCATGGAGAGTTGTTTGGATTCTTTCCTTTTTAAATACGTATGCGGTAAAAGTAAACAGATGAATTTTCATCCTGCAGAGCAAACCCTATTCCTAGAGAAGGCCCTTTTCTTTCTCTGATATCTAATCCTTTCCTTTGGCAAAATAAATAATGAGACACTTCTAACAGATCTGATTAAGCTCTGAGTCCCTTCTTAAATGACAGAAGATCAATACTATTACTAAATCCATTAAACAGTTCTTCACACTTCAGTTGTGCTCTATCTAGGATATTTGAGAAAGAACAGAAGGGTATTTTGGCTATTATAAAGGAATTGCTGATAAAGCCTCTTCTCATGTTGCCCTTTCTCTCCCTGGCTCCAAGCCATCCATATCTTCCAGACTCCCACGTACCTTGAATCTGGCTCACAGGCCAGAAAGAGCCAGAGGCCTGGGATGCAGAGGGACCTTTATCTTTCAGTCTCTTATGCCAGGCTTGAATCTGTCAGTAGTATCTGGGAGTTCTGGGTTTTTGTTTAACTCTGATGACAAGTTGCCTGAAGTATATCTCAGTTTAGTTTTTGATTCAGTGCCTGTTTTTTTGTTGGTACACTGAAGGCTTTCAGTGTCCCTGAAGAAGAATGAGGGCACCACAGCTCTGTGCACATAAATGGCAGAACAGTTTTGCAGCAGATTTTGAGGTTTTGTATTCACTTTCAAGCCGGTGATTGTGATCGAGTATGAACAAAGGACATAGCCTTAGGGACAGGAATTATAGAATCATAGAATGGTTTGGGTTTGAAAGGGACCTTAAAGATCATCTAGTTCCAACTCCCTGCTCTGGGCAGGGAGACCTTCTACTAGACCAGGTTACTCAAAGCTCCATCCAACCTGGTCCTGAATGCTTCCAAGGATGGGGCACCCACAACTTCTCCGAGCAACAAGTTCCAGTATCTCACCACCCTCACAGTAAGGAGTTTCTTCCTTATATCTAATATAAACCTGCCCTCTTTCAGTTTAAAGCCATTCCCCCTTGTCCTATCGCTACATACCCTTTTGAAAAGTCCCTCTTCAGATTTCTTGAAGTCCCCTATATGTACTAGAAGGTGCTATAAGGTTTCCCCTAAGCCTTCTCTTTCCAGGATGAACAACCTCAACTCTCTCAGTCTGACTTCATAGGAAACATGCTCCAGCCCTGTGATCACCTTCATTACATCCTCTGGACTTGCTCCAAGAGGTCCATGTCCTTCTTATATTGGGGGTCCCAGGGCTGGACTCAGTATTCCAAGTGGGGGCTCATGAGAGCGGAGTACAGAGGAATCAGTTTTCTTCCCAAGCCAAGGCATTTACCTGTGTGATTTGATTAAGAACATAGACAGCTCTAAGGCCCCCACACTGCAGGCGGGGCTCTGTGAAGGCTGATATCTTTTTTCAAACAGCAATCTGAGGTAGAGAATCCCCTTCCCATATTTAAAAACTGCTAAGGAAAGTTTTGGTGTCTACAACATGACACATCTGTGTGGAATGAGCAGCTCTGCCCACTCCTCCTGTCAAGAAATCCAGTATTGATGTGACAGGACAATGCCTCCCAGAAAGCAATAGTTACCACCTTACTAGAAAGGTCAAGTACCAAAAAGGCTGGAAACACCAAATCCTCTTTCTCAACCAGAAATGGTCCCTTCAAATGAGATAATCCTTGGATATATCAAAGATTAAAGGCACAGTGTTACAATAATTCAGAAAATGAAATATGCAACCTGACACATATTCTTGCTTGTCCATGGTCTGATGTCACCACCGGTCAACCTGAGAGCTCCATCTGCATCCTGCTCCCTATAACCACTCTGTAATTATGTCTCATTGTACAGCATTTTTGTTCAACAACTCGCTGGCTGTTTTTCACATCAAATGAATTATTCAGCAGCAGACTGTGTTCTTGATTCTAACAACAGCAGCAATAATATTTCATGCTCATAGAGTCCCTTCAAAA